CTCCAACACCCGACTGCACGCGGACAGGCCTCGCCGCGCGCCCTACCTCCACCATGCCTCCCCTCCCCTCGTCCGGCTGTGCTGCCAGCATCCACGGCCGCCGGGGCCAGCTCTAGCTGCTAGCAACACTGCAATCGCATTCATGGCGGCGGACGACAAGGCGACGCTGAGTCCCAGCAGCCATTGGGGCCGAACAACCGTCGCTGCATGGGTTGCCTCGGCAGATGGCCATGAGGGACGACCACGGCCTCTGAGAACTTCGCTGTTGCCCGTGCAAACAATGTTGGCTCCCTCGTGCACGGCCTTGCGCGCTCAGAGGCACAAACCCACGCTATTGATCCCGCGACGCATGACTCTTCTGACCAAAGATAATACACTAAGCCGAACACATTGCCCGCCCGTGTCCGCATACGGCTTGCCCGAAGAGTGCATTCTTAGTGCCCGGGGAACAGGCGTGAAACGGGAGCTTATTTGTGTGTTACGCCTCGCGGCGACCGCTACCATATGATGGGGGTGCGCGTCTTGACAACGCTGGTATTCAATGGGGCTCTGATGCCAACCCTCTTCGCTCGCTAGAATCCCCCACGAGGACGGCGGCGGTCTGTTTCAGATTTGCGTGCCCTTCCGCCGAGATTGCCTGCGCGTCGGCGTGAAGTAATGCATGCACACTGACGAGCTCCGCGCCACTCCGACCCAAGCCAAGGCCGCACGCGCGTCCGCCACAGTCCGGCTGCTGGCAGCGATCCCATCCCCGCCCCGCGCATCGACGTCGTCCCGTGTTGGATCGTCGACACAGCGATTCGCGTGGCATCGCTCGCGCGCAACGACGCCGGATGTCATCGATTCATCACGCAGCCAGACTGGAAACGGACGAGTGCGTCTCACCTCTGTCTGCGCTCCGGGGCACATCTCCGATGCAGTGCGTGCATCTCGACGACCCGATCCGGACAAAGGGCGACGAGGGGGGCAGCTCCACCATGAATCTGTCTGAGCCCCGAGCTCTGGAGCGAGGGGAGGTCGCGGCATCGTGTCAGCCCCTGTGCCGTATTCGGGACAGCACACCGTTACGGCACAGATGGCAACGATGGGCTCGGGGCAGATGGACAGTGACAGATGGGTGCGACAGGCGTGCCACAAAGCTCCCCGTGTGGCGCGGCCAACGACTCGAGCCGGCTACCGCTCAATCACCTGCTGGCCGGAACACGCCGGGCGCACGTGCGCGGCACACATCCCTTGTTTGCGAGTGTTGGCCCCAGATCATCCACACCGCTCGCGGTCCGACATCTCGATCACAAGT